GAATGACCCAAGATGTTTTCTTAACAACTTTTCCCCATTCTTGAGGCTAAAGGTAAGGTTTTTACTCCCCAAATCCGTTTTTCGATCCGTAGAATGTAAATCCATGGGTAATTATCGATGAGGGAGGGTTTTGATATGGGATTTATGGTGGAAAAAGCCTTAATCTGGGGATCAAGGGTTCGACCTAGGGTGGATATTTTGATTGTAATCAGGGTAATTAGGCTTCGTTTATTGATCCTCACGTTTTATTGATTGTTTGTAGACCAAGAACAAGCGGAAAGAATTCGAAAATGGAAGAATCAGGTTTCTTAGGGGATTCAAGCTTTGTTTGAGGTAGGTGATGGTTGTGATTTCATGTTGGTGTGATATGTATTTGTAATTGCTTCATTATAATGCATGTATGTATGTGAATGTTGCATTATTGATCACACTAATCGTAAATGAGGATGATTGAGTAATTGTATGCCATGAATCATGACTTGATTGTATGATTATGAGAATGTACATTGTGATTGTGATTGTGGTTTGTTGAATGGATCGGGTGTTACGTTCTAACACACTAACATGGATCGGGTGCCACATTCCGGCGCATCTATGGGATCGGGTGTCACGTCTGGCACACTAACTTGGATCGGGTACCACGTACCAGTACACTAACAGTTTTGGTTTGGATTTCATGAGAGGACCATTGACTTGACATGACTGTATATCTTAAGATTTGTGAAATTGTACGTTGTCGTAAGTGATAATTGATATTGTATATGTTCAGTGTATGCATGTTTATTATTGTTGTAATGACTTATATATGTTCACGTATTGGGATAGATGTATGATCCTATCAGTACACTGTGGTTGTGTACTGATACTGCACTTGCTCTTTCTTTGTTGAGTACAGGGCATCTTCATGTGGTTACTGATAGACCTCGTTTAGAAGATTAGTGATCGACTCGAATTCAAGGGTGAGTCAGTTCTTCCGGGCTGCCATGAGTTCTTTTTTGTTTATGTCCACATCTTCGGACTTAGACTAGTACTTTAGATTTTCTTATGTTTAATTGGGTTGTGCCCATTTCCTTTAGACTTATGATCCTTGTTAGAGTTTTGGTACATTGACTTTCAGGTTCTAGGCGTTATTTTCGCAATCGTTGATTAGACTTTTGGAGTTTATGAGAACTCTATTTTTCCTTTAGCATTTAAACCTGCTTCCATATCTTTAAATGCCTTAGTTTTTGGTTGAGTTGTTCAGTTTGGGTTGTAGTAATGGTTCTCACACCGGAGGGTTAATATGTGTGCCAATCACGACGGTCTGAGTTGTGACAGTTTATTAGTCAAATTAATTAATCAGAACAAATTAATTCACTCATTTATTAAAAATTTAACTTCAAAAAAAACACTAAATAAGAGCTAATGATAAATTTGCCTAATTTCTTAAAGAACGTAAAATCTAAAAGGATGACAACTAAAAAGAAAAAAAAAGTACTCCCTCCGTCCCATTTTATGTGGCAACATTTGACCGAGCACGGAGTTTAAGAAATAAATGAAGACTTTGAAATGTTTACCAAATTACCCTTTAAAAAGTAGATTCATTTTTCTCTCTCCTCATATATGTATTGGAGTATTATTTTAAAATTAAGTGGGACCAACAAGGGTAAAAGAGAAAGTGTACCTTTAAATACTTACCATACAAGGAAATGGTGCCACATAAAATGGGACGGAGGGAGTATAACATTGGGGTCATTGTGGCCAATAATTATGACCAAAAAGATTTTTCCATTATTTAAAACCTTGTCCTCTCTTTTCTTTTTATAAACCCCATGTCGCCACAAAATGAACACAACATAAAAATTGGATCCCACTATCAATTTACATCTATGAAAAAAAGACATGTTTTTTAGGGGAAGAATTACTATTTCCTTTTTTTCATATTATAAGTTATGGGCAAAAAACTTAAGTATACAACTTAAGTACCTTAATTACTACTATATAACAATACTTTTTTTTTCACTTACATAGCAATAGTTTTTTACAAAATTAGAATTTTTTTATTTTTATTTTTAAAAAAAGAAACGTAGAATTAGAATTTTTTTTTAAAAAAAAATCGTAGAACGAGTCTGCCATATTATCACATATCCCTTACCTTCCCTGATTTACTCAGATTTGTTAAATATTCTCTCTCATGAAGAGAGGTTTCTAACAAAAATAAAACTCCCTGACTACTATGATCAACTATTGAAAAGGATACCAACAATTTTTCAATTCTAATACAACACAACGGGCGATGGAACTCATCAGGTATGTGAAAAAAAATGATTGAATTGGTTTTTTTTTACATTGTTGATATATTTGATTTTTCTCACCATATGTGTTTAATGTTTTAGATAATTAGCCATTTGTTTATATTGTACTTTGTTGTGGTGTAATATAAAATTTATATGATTTCGTTAATAGCATGATACATCGATTGGATGGATTTTATTGTTGAATAAACATTAAATATTGATAATAGTTTTTGGTATAATATTAGGGTTTTGTTATATTATTAGGTTTTTGGTGGTATAGAAAATAAACTTTTGGTTACTGTGCGTATAAAACAATACAACTTAAGTATGCATGTTGGCATCAAAATGGTTTAATTGGTATGTTGCATATGTTATACTAACAGCAAAAATCAATATGGTGTTATTGCTAATATTTAGACGTTATACAAAGACCAACTTCAAGTTAAAATTCTGATACGTGTATTGGTGTATCTAATTTGATTTTTTTTTTGGTATGTGATCAGATGTAATTGGTATGGTACATGCCTTATATAAAGAACATAAACAAATAATTGTTTTTGTGTGTGATATTTTGTTATTAGTATTTTTTAAGGTCTTATACAATATATCAAGTTCAATCAATATTTTGATATGTGTGTTGGTGAATTTGTTTGTCTGATTGGTGTGATAACGAATTTTATATCTTAATTCTCAAATACTTATGATATGTGCTTTGGTGTAATTAGTAATTTTTTGACCCTGTGTAAAAACCAAGTTAAAAATTTTAATATTTTTGTACATATTATAGCTAAGAAAATTAATGAATTATGTGTTGGTTATAATGCTTAAGGATGGTGTAGATGATTTCGTTTAGTTGATCTCGTGTATTATATATTTTATAAAAATCAAATTTCATATCAATTTTATTATGTAGTTTTTGTTGGGGTGAATAAATACAATGACATTGTGGTATGTGATATGGTGTAAATTATTTGGTGTAATTGATATTATGAATAATGTTTTGGTGTGTGATTTGGTATGTGAAATGGTAAGTTATTTGGTAAGTGAAATTGTGGTGTCTGATTTGGTAAGTTTTTTGGTGTCTGATTTGATAAGTTTTTTGGTGTCTGGTTTGATAAGTGTTGCTTTAAATATTATCGTACATCAAATTGGTGTATTAATTTACCTGAATTGATTTATATAACATGTTTAAAGAAATATTGAGTTGATAGTGTAAATAAATTATGTTTTGGTAAGTCATTTGGTAATTGATGGTTACTAATTGTGGTACGTGATTTGGTGACAATGTATTTGTGGTGTATTAATTTGCCTAATTTGGTATATATAACATGTTTAAATAATATCGAGTTGTCTAATTTGTGTGGTGAAATTGATAGTGTGAATTATGATTTTATAAACACCATAAGCAATCTCAAAGGTATTCTGTAGTTTTGTTTTTGGTGAAAATGTTGGTCTGAAAACTACTTAAAAACAACACCCGTATGTATACCATCAATTCCCATACTAACCACCAATAATTAATACCAACATATCTACATATATATAAAGCTAAGTGATCATTATTATAAACTGTGTAATTTAATTTATGTATGAAATGCATTCTGCTAAGTAATGAAGTTGATTGATAATTTGTAATCTTATACAGGTAATTACGTGGATTATGATATCGAAGGAGTGATGTATGATGCAAACACCAAATACGAAGGCTTGATGCATACTATATCTTCTCAATTGGGTGTGGACACGACCATATTTCATTTAGAACTCAAATACGTCGTGAATGATCCATCTCCACCAATGAAGAGTCATAACGATATGGGTGTCCAAATTTATTTAGATCGAAAGAGATTCAATTCAGAGTTAAATAATTACCTTTTTACGCGATTTTTCTAATGCTTTAGAATCTGTATTTAATCTTAATCTTTTGAAAATTGCATTTAATCTTCAAAATCACTATCATGTTGGTAGTTTTCAGAAATAGAAACTTCATTTGCCTTTTCTTTACGCAATGGTGCAAGAATTATAAAACGCAATAATGGAGAAACAAAAGAAATGCAACAATGGAGAAACAAAAAAAAAGAAGGAAGAAGAGAGAAGGAAGAATTCTAAATAGCGTGACTAACTAAGGAAGGAGTAATATTGAAAAGAGTAAAAGTATTTTTTTTTTACCTTACCTAGATTGTATCATATAAGGAATAAAATAAAAATAAATATTATATTAAATTAAATATCCGTCACTTGTAAAATTAAGAAATAATGATGGAAAGACTAAAAGTTTTTACTTTTACCTTACCTAGATTGCATCACATAATAATAATAAAATTATTATTTATCAAAGGAAGTAACGTGTTTATTTATTAAAGGAAGTAACGTGTCGAATTAAAAAATATCCATAAATTTAGGCACGAATTCCTATAAGGAGGGAGAGAGAAAATTCAGAAATTGAATAATTAACTTAAATTAAAAAATTAATTAATTTGTTAAGTTTGTAATTTTAAAACTATATTTGTAATTAAATACAAGTATATGTATATACGGTTAATTAAAAACTTAAGTTGTATATTATAGTAATTTTTCCTATGTTATTTTCTTTTTGTTTCTTAAGAAATCATATAATTTGAAGTAAATAATTATAGTAATATGAATAATTAATAAATAATATGAAACGGAGAAAATATATGTGGTTGTTGCATATGCATTAATCATGATGTAAACAATGTTTACCGTGAGTTCATCATATGCAAGAAAATGATCTCCCCAAACACTAGGATGATGATTGCCAATGCGACGTGTAACAACCTCATTAATCGCAATGGTTTGAGTGCACAACTCCATTTTACAGAAACTGTTTGGTAAAAGGAAATGAACCAAAATTTGAACAAACATGAGTTAGTGTGATAAAGATCGAAATCTCAAAAAAGTTTCATTAACTTTTTTTTTTTTTTCTTGAGATAATTGAGAAACATTTTAGGGTCAGTGGAATAAAATACAAAATAAATACTATTAGAATTTTGACTATGACATAAAGTTCCATTAACTTACTATAACTATAGAACTATCCCCCACTATAACTATATATAGGATAATCTCCTATAGTTTTTTTTGTTATTATGGAAATTTAAACAGATTCCATAATTACTACTTTTAGGAAGAAAAATATAATAAGCTACTCTTGTATAAAATTACACTGTTATTTGAATTGATGATCTCAATAAAAGAAAATGGGACATACCTTCCAAGTTGCAAATTGAAGTTTTCTTTGACTTGTGAATACACTGAAGGAGGACTCAGTTCCTATTTATAGCCATAAGTTAGTTTCCTTTTTGACATTTTTAGCCTTTTCCTTTCAAATTTTAAAAATAAAGCTATTTAGTTTTTCCTTGAATATGACAGACACCGACACATTATAGAAATAATAAAAATCATATAGTTCATAATCGTTGATCCTGGTTAACAACAATTCAAGAAAGTCACGTATTATTGTTGTAGTCTTGTACCTCTAATATTCTATCTCGATCTAATAATGACAGATATAAAAACTAAATTACAATATAGCCGTAATTTTTTTTAATTATACACTACAAGAAAAGTGTGAATTACATAGGGATTTTTCTGGCGATTATAAATGAAAATTCGCAGGAAAATAAGTTTCCTATGGATTTTCCTATCAAAAAGAATCTGAAGGTAAAACCTTCCTAGGTAATTATTTCCTGCGAATTTCAAAATTCCCAAGTAATTTACCTAGGGATTTATATTTCGCACGTAAATTACTTGTGATTTTTCTTGCAAAAAACAACAAAAAAAAGAAAGAATTTTTTTACCAATTTATTTGCAAGTAAAGCTGCATAAAAATATTCTAATAATTTATTTAAAATAATATTAATTATTATTTCCTAGTTATTTATTTGTTCATTGAACCCCAACCAACATTTCTCACACTCACCCCACTGCCCCCTTCACCCCATTTAATAAATTACTATAGAGAAATTATATCATTTTTAATGCTTGTAAAAAAAATATATCAATTTGATATATAACTAAAATTATTTATTTTTCATTTAATATAATTCTATCAACTAGGGGTTGATTAAAATTCACTGTATATAATTTAATTTTTCTCTACTTAAATATAATGTTTGTCTTATTCAATAATGTAAAATTTAATATAAAGTAATATTAAATCAAAATTAATTACATTTATGATAGTTGGTTTCTATTAAACAAATAACTAGCCATATAATTTTAATGTTTTGTATCTTTCAAATTAAAAAAAAAAACAAAAAAAGATTGCATCATTGATTTTTAAAATAAATTTTGTAACTATATATAAGTTAAAACTATTGTTCCTGCCATTTGTGGTAATGTTCCAACACAGTGCTAGATTGATATTATTGTATAATAATTTATTTAATCTAAAAGTAGAGTAAATATTTAACAATAAATTCATTCTAATGTTATTTTTATTTTTTATATTATTATAATTTTAAATTTTGTTAAATGTATTTTTTTTTTAAATATTCCTTGAAGACTCCAAATATTCTTAGATTCCAAGAAAAAACTTCCAATTAAATTGTATTAAAAAAATGTTCAAGTATGCATCCTCTATAAATCTCCAACCAAATTCAAATAAATAAAATCCCCAAGTAATTCTCTAAGTAAGAAAATTCCCAAGTAAATCCTCAAGAAATAAAATTCCAACAAAATTCATTGAACATGAATCCCCAGGTAATAACATGTATAAAATTATTTCTAAATAAATTTTCAAGTAATTATTTCTAGCTAAATCTGTAAATAAGTTTTTCTAGGAATTTTCTTGCAAACATTTTACAATTTTTATTTTTTTTATTACTTGTGAATTTACCTATGAAAATGATATTTGTAAAATAATTTCCCTAAATAATTCCCCAAGTAATAATTTTGTAAAAAAGGCGCCAAAGTTACCTACCAATTTTTCTGGGAAATTATTTTTCGCATGTAGAGATGTCTAGAATTTAGGAATTTCATATTTTCTCATGAAAATTTGTAGGAAGTTTGTGCGGAAATAATCCGCAAGTAAAATCCCCAAGTAATTTACAGTTTTCTAGTAGTGATAATTCTTTTTAGCTTTTTAATCTTTCTCCACTCAAACTTCTTTCTTTTTATTTTTTACACTAAAGAATGAAAGAAAACATAAAATAAATTAAAAAACTCAAATAAAAATAATCAAAGAAGTGAAAAATAATTTATGAGTGAAAAAGATTAAATACAGATTTTTAAGTCACTTTTGTAACATCTTGCAATTCACCTTATCCGGTAAGTTACCTAACAGAACTTGAAACTTTGGCTCATTTTCTTTATAAGGGTATATGTAAACCACTTTTGTAACACTAGGGGTATATATGAGTCATTTTGTAATGATAGGAGTATATGTGAACCACTTTTATAACGAGGGACATATTAGCTCTAAATGACAAAGTTAAAAAATATATCAGACCCTTATAAGTAGAGAGTAATATTAAGTTATTTATTCATGTCCTATATATTAACTTACCAAAATAAAAAAAATTCTCAAGAATACTATAATTATACAATACAATTAGACTTCTTATGAAATTGAGAATCATACATTGATATATGTATTTGTAATAATTTGAATGTTTAAGTTATTTACTATTCAATTTTGATATTCAAAGTTGATAAATTTATTGATTATTTAATTAAGAACTATGCCTAGAAAACTCAAAGCGAATCAAACCAAATTTTAGTTTGAATTAATCATTTACTTTGTTTGGTTTTCTGGTTTAATTTCAAATTTAGAAAAATTAAAATTGAAAAAAACTGAATTGCACACACACACACACACACACACATATATATATATATATATATATATATATATATATATATATATATATATATATATATATATATTCAAATTAGAAATATAACTTTGGTTATGTTATTAATTATTGACATTAACCGATTAACCAAATCGAAAAAAGCCGAACTGAATAGAGAAAAATCAAATCAAACCAAATCAAACCAAATTTATTTTGATTTGGATTGGTTTATACTTTTAAAAAATCAAAAAACCGAATAATTCAAATCGAATAGTACAAAATCAAACCGAAAAATCGAATGTAGGTATATATAAGCATATATATAAATATTTTATTTCTATTTTATTTTGAAACATCTGTTTAATTAGAATATTGTATTAACTAATTTCGTAGTCGTGATTATAATTCAAAATTATATTTATTTTTTTCTTAAAATAAAAACTCACACATTATATGGATGATTCATTAATCATTGTAGAATTATATATAATTTTATTCACTGATTATATTTTAAAAAAATTCTATTGTAAATTTGAAACTCATACTTCAGTTAACTAAATTGTGTATTGCTGACTAATTAGTATAAATTTTAATTAAAGAAATATTTATTTATATTTACTATTAGCTTGAAGTTCATTGTCTCCTTCAATAAAAAAAATACAAAAAAGGAAAAATTACCTTACTACATATCATTTATTATCATATTTTCTTATTTTTCCTACCATTTCAAAAATATCAAAAATCCCCTCTTTTGCTCCCATCATCCCCTTTTCTGAATACATTAATTTGAAATCTCATATCATGATTTTCCTTCCTTTTTTCACGCCACAAATCTCTCCACAATTATCTCCATTAATCCATTTTTGTATTTAAAATCTTTTCTCTTTCCAATTAATGATTTCAAGAGGTAGATTTCTTTCCATCACTTCAATTTTCAATTTCTTTTATTTATTTATTTTAGTTTTTCATCTTTTTTCTTCATAAGAAACATAGAAATTATATTGTTTTGGATATGCAAAAGGAAGTTGTGTACAGTGCATACTTGCAAGAACCACACCAAAGAGGGGTAGAAAACGTTGCTAATGCACAAAGTTCATTTTGAAGTGCATTTGGAATGGTTCCCAAAATTTCTAATGGCAGTCTTGATACACTTCATTTCATTGGTTCGATCTTTCAGTAATGGATTTACCCAATTAGTCCGAGAAGGATACATCTTCGTTGCTTTCCGTTGATCAGATTGTTGACTTTTTTTCGATCTTTTGGTTGTTCATCTTTTTTGATACATATAAGTTCAGATTTTTAATGTATCTAGTTGATTTTGTTTCTTAAACTAATGTATAATGTCTTCGTTTCAACATTATGATACATTACAATTTTATCATGCACAATGTATCGTGTTTAAATATTAGTTTTGATACATAACCTTAATTAGTATTGATACTTGATACAAAAATTCTACCAAATGTATCATTTATCATGTATTAGCCTTTTCATCTACAAATTTCTGATACATATGATTTTTGCTCTCAATAAAAATAAGTTACATAAATTATAATGTATCATGTACTAATTTTTTAGGCATGATACGTAAATTCGAATTTAAACTAAATGTATCTGATACATAACAATTACCAAATAGTAATGTATCTATCCCAAACCTAACATCTTATGAGCAACAATTTATTATTTAATGTATCTAGTAGAAATACAACACTTATCAATTTAACAAGATACATAATTAATAATGTATTGATAAATCTATCCGTCTCGGAAACACAATTCAAAAAATAATTACACAACATTATAAAAGGATAGATGATCCATCAAAGCTATGTATCTCTTAAACCTTTTTGTCTCTTGTATTAACGCATAGCAGATACATTGAAAATTCAGGCTCTTGTTTATTCACCTGAACAAGGTATCAGATCTCCAGTGTATTTTGAAGTTTTAATTCAAAAATTGAGAGTTTTTTTGGAAGAATCGGAAAAAGAATTTTAAATTTTGAATTGTGCTAGT